GGGAGAAAGAGAGGGACCCGCAAAATAATTGTTCGCTCCGATGAGATGAGGGGCCTTACGCTCGGGGTCCTACGAGCGTCCTACCCAGGGCGACCCAATTCGACGTACTTTTGTGATCCAAATGGGATGAGTCAACGATTGATGTTTGTGCCGTGGCTGCTATCGATTTTGCCGCCGGTCGATGGCTTTTTCGTTCTCTCCGTTCTACGGCCGCCGTCCGCCGGCCGAAATCGTCTTCCCTTTGGAAGAAGTCGTCTCTACTTTTTTATCGCGTCGGATCGCGTTCTTTCAGCGAGTCTGCAAATGGCATCTTTTTGTAGTCGCGAATGGAAACTTGCGTTTCGTGCGTTGCGGACGCCCTTTGAAACCGTGACGAACAAATTGGAAATCGATTGATGTATCTGGCACGTCTTATACGATATTTATCGATTCGACATTTATAACTTCAATCTTTCATTATTTATCCGTATGCTTTTTTTTAAATCATTTCCATTATTTTGTATTTGTCTCGACATGATTCATTATAATAAAATTTCATTAACTTTGATTTAATCTAAGTAAATATTATGTGAACAAAAATACAATCTAAACATTATATGATAGAGATAAGTAATTTCTTCTAAATTAATTTCTAGGCTAGTAATATAATAATTAACCATTTTTTTTAGTTAAAAATAGATTATGTAGTACGCGCTGGGAAATTTTTCTAACCATCGCCATCGCTAATATTGATAATTCATCGGATTACGGCGCGTTGCGGTTCAACAAGTGCCGTTCGCAAACGCGTGTGCAATTCATCGATTCATCACATATCGACGGTTTTTGCTCTTCCGGGCTTCCGCTTTCATCTCATTCTTCCTTTCCCTTTTGTTTTGTTCCTCGCGTTCGGTCAGTCGGTCTTTTTGCACCGCGGGTTCGCCGTCCACTTCTTCCTGCTTCGCATCCTCCGAGGATACCGTGAGATACGACGGATTAAAAACCACGGAGACGTGTATCACGGACACGCTTACTTTCCGAAAAGCGAACCAATCAACAGTGCGGGAGATTTGACTCGGGGCCCGAGTCCCATTTGGACGACGCGCAGGTTAAGCTACACCGCACGACACGTGGAGACCGAGTAGATATACGACGAGATAAAAAAGAAATGGGCAGGACGAGATTGTCGGACAGACGCGACAGTGTCCTGTCGTGCGAGTCCTGCTTCGCGAGAAGGACCAACGGGGCCTACACAAGCTTTGATGTGACCGCCATCGGGCCCTCCTGCTCACCCTCGACCAAGAACGAGGAATCAACCATGCGAGATGGCCGTTTGACATTTTCACTACGGGGGACGAGCTACGATAATAACAGGTTTAACTCTCCGTCAGAGCTGCGCGAGTCTCCGACCGCGTGAAATTGTCTGGAAACCGGTGTGTCCCCGTCGTCGATTTTTCCGAATTTCGGGAAGATATGACCCGATCGTGGGATTAACCGGGCGAACACTAAACCGATGTTCCCGTGTAATCTAGCAAAAACAGAAGTTAATCCCTCGTATCGCAGAAAGAATGAATCGAGTTGCAGGTACAATCGGTTTTGTTGATCCCGGGTTCGCAGTTCGTCGTTATTATTTGTCAGATCTAAGCAGAGAGTGTGTAAGCCTTTTGAAAATATTAAAAATGCAATTAGCATCGTAAAAAGTAAAATACAAATCCCAATTTAAAAAATAATTTGCTTTGCACTTTTTTAGTTTGATAGCGACATTTTAAAAGAACATTGGACTTATACTTGTCCGACAATGAGTAAAGATGATTGTTCTGCGTACTTTAAACTATATTTGTGTTCAAGCGTTGAGATAAATAAATGCAATTTTGCAGCCGTCATTCAGAAATTCTCGACGGCGAGGTAAAGTGAATATCTCATCGAGACTTATCGCGACTGTAACGAGACTCGCGTTCTCCTGTCAGTCGTCAGACCCTACGGCACAAAAACGATAAGAGCCGCGATCGATCGGAGCGGCGTATCGCCGCGCGCGCGTGCGGCAATTAATATCTATTATAGCGGCGGAAGTGAGAGGAGCGGCGTGTGATCGCGCCGGGGAAGGACGAGAGCGCGGATGACGTGCCGATGACGTCACTGCCGGTCAACTACAAGTATTTCGCATTAGCCGGCGGCCACCCTCCCCCTCACCTCCACCCACCATCCGCCCCCTGATCCCGCTAATTAATTGGGTTAAAAAGACGTTAGGCGAATTGATCGGTCCATTCAAAGGCGGGCACGGCATCGAACGCGAGCGGCGCGTTGAGATAAAGTTATTATTCGCTCGTATCAATTCGGCACGCCTGCGCGATCGCGTGCCGACGCGCTATAACCGCCTTATCGTTTCAATTTGCTCTCGTGTGGATCGGGTCCGTTCATGGGAAAAACAGTCGCTCGAGCCGCGGATCTTTCCCGCAGTAACTTTCATTTCCGTCCCGCGGTGCATCTCGGTCTTTTTATTAGATCTCGATTCAGAAAGAGAGAGAAAAGTGCATTGTTTTCATATGTGAAACCAAACAGAGATTACGAGCCGCTCGAGCGATTTATAGAGTTTAATCGCTGAATTTTATTCCAGTCGGTTGGTTAAAATTTAACAGCTAATTATTATATCATAAAGCTCATAATCTTAACATAAAAATGAATTATTTTATAAGACATTTAATCTGGCTAATGAGATATTTATTCTAATTTCACAGCTCATTTCGTTTACACGATAACAAAGCCGCGTAGAATCCTACGATCATCTCTTTACTTTTCATTCTGGTCAATCGGTTTTCCAAATTCGACAGCAAAACCAATTGTGTAAAGCACATTTTAAAATCCGAAGGTAATCTCCGAAGGCGAACTTTCGTTTCGATGTCTCCTTTGAGAATCTCTCGCGCGAGTAACGTGCCAGCGGTGTGGACAAAGGAATTAGCGGAATATTGTATTCTTGCGGAAGATCGCTTATATGCGAGGGAAAATGGCGTGCGCGATCAAGAGTCTACGTGAAAGACCCCCTACATGCCCCAAGCAATCGGGGCCCGTTGTTATGAATTATGGAAAACACTGTAGCGCCCGCAAAAGGCCCATGACAGCCCTTTGTTCGGCTGTCACCGAATACTCTGACGATCCCTAGGGAGTCCTAGGCAAGATCGAATCACTTTCGCGTAGCACGATCCACCTCTCTTTTTGTCTCCGTGTCATCGTCGCATATTGCTGATGCGAAGGTAGAGAAATGCTCGGATCAGTGATTCTTCTTTATCATCGGTATACTTTGAAATGTTGGATTCTTTGTTTAACGCTTTGTACTAAGCGCGGATTATCAAGATGCTTTTAATAAAATATAAGATATTTTAAATAAAATTATACTTTACATAAACAATTTTATTTTGTTCATTATAATATATTTTAAATCAAACGTGATTTCTAAAATGTTAAATAAATAAAATGTAAATATATGACAATGAAAATACTTAAAAATTTTAATTCTCGAACGAGCTTAAAAATTAACGACGAATATAATTAACAATAGTGACGACTTATTGCAGATCGCTACAATCGCCAGCCGGAAGAGGAATATTCGATAGCACCTCGGCGACTCTTGCTGGCCGGAGAGGAGATTTCGCAGGATGACGCGCGACTCGCTCGCGAGTTCTCGAGGGACAGAGGGAGACGGACGAGGATATAGAGACCTTAAGGTACAATGCGACGCCTGTGGGTAGCCATTGACAGAAACGGCCGTGTCATCCCAGCCATGATACACCCCATTGTGCCTCCAAAGGACCTTCTGGAGACTGCATTATCGTTCCTATATCTTTTTATTAGACCGCTGGTCCTGATTTCTCTCCTCCCCTCCGGCCCCCGTTTCTCGCTTTACCGGAGGAGACGCGTATGCGCGAGAGACGATGCTGCCGGGTATACACTCGACACGCACACATACACACACCTCGCGATGCGTCAGCAAGAAATGGGAGCTGTATCTCCTCTCTCGTTCGAGACGCGGTGCAGCACTGCGAGAGCGTAATTAATTTCGTCGGCTCTCGGATGCGGGGAATAGGAATCGATATCGAAGATCACCGGGAAATGATGATTTCAAATTGAACACAATTGACTTTCCTTCGAATGGAGTACCACAATGTATGTAGATACATTAGAAGTCATGATGAAATAGCGATAGTCACATGGCGATACTCATTATGCGTTACAAAATATTTCTTTCGTTCTATATTTTATTTGAAGAAAGTTTCTTTAGATATTGTATATTTGCGGAAGCTTCTTGAAGCTTACGTTAGATTTGTCGTCACACACATGAATGAAATCACAATTGGTTTGGGATTTTGAGATTATTTTTCAAAATGTTGCGTTATTCGAATTGATCGCAACGAAAAGAAATCTTTTCTATGACAATTACAATCAACATGAATATTGTCGACAGTATATTATTGCACAGCCGCGTGAGAATTATGCTGCGGATTTCACACTGACAACACGTATTTGCGATGGCAGTAATATTAACGTCGCGGAGGATCGATTGGCGTGCGACTTTTAACCGGAGATTAGGCGCTACGAGGGCTCATCGCGAAGTTCACGATGATGATGCAGCGTGCGGTCGCAATTACGGCCGAGAATCCGGCAATTATGCCGCGCCGTCGAGTGCAAAGGTGACACGCTAACGGCGGAGTGATTGATTCTAGCGAAAACGCGAATCAGGGAACAATTTGTCAAGCCGTCGACGTTCCATCTCTCGCAACACGGCCACGCAGCGTGAAGATACCGATCTCCTTACTTCGCGCGCGCGCACGCGCTTACCTTCCCGGCTCCTTCGCCGTCCGTTCGATACCTGGCATCGATACCGCGACTGCATCGGCGGCCGCCGGCGATGTAATGCCGCCGCCCCGTGCGATTTTCGAGTTACGCGCGCGATCGCGAATGGACAATGCATTTCAGCGGGACGTGGCCGCCGCAAATCGCACGCTTCTCGGGCGCGATTTCGCGCGTGGGAACACGCGGGAAAGGTCGACCGGATCTCGAAGACAACACGAGTCTCCCTATCCGCGGATCGACAATGCGCGAAAGGAGCGGAAAAAAGGGCATACGCGCGCCTATCGAAGCGGCAACCGAAGCGCTTTTCCATAAGCATCGACAGCCGCTCATTCGACCATTATCGCCGTCGCTGCGAGATAGAAAGGCTGATTTAGACGCGGAATCGTACCTATTGGCGCACCTCGTGCGAGCAAGGGAAACACCCTGCCCACACGCGCGGTGCTGCGAACATTTGTTTGGATTTCACGATGAGGTGTGTCTCGAGAAAAGGGGGATTGTTCTCTTTTCCAGCGCTGGGTGAGAAAACGCAACTTTCGCAGGATGGTATACTTGCGAAAGTTTAGATTCTTAAATTGCAAAGAATAATTTTTTTACGCAAAGATATTTTCGCAAACACAAAGGATATATTGAATAATTTCATTTTAATTTCTGTTAAAAATTATTTCTTTTCAACTCTGTTGTTCGACGCAAATTATTCCGAAATTATGATTTTTATTAAATTTACTGCAACAACTAAACACGTTTACAAGAAAGATATCGATTTAATTGAGGAATATTTTCAAAAAGGCGAAAGTTAAAATCATCTCGTTTGAAGTTTCCCTGAAAGAGTTTTTTTTCTTTCATTTCTTCGATCGACCACGATGCTGCGCATTATCCGGAGATTGTAAATCGCGTTAATGAAATCTACGAGGCCGCCGACGTAATGAAAGCTCGCGCTGTTAATCGCGCCGCGTAACAAACGCTCACGCGGCACGCATACGTCAGTCCGGGATCGTTATCTGTTCTCGCTCTACCCCGGTGTCAAGAAGTTAGTCCTCTCTCTGGGGGTTGCCGAAAGAGAAAGGCATAAAGACAGGAGGGTGGTTAGCTCGCACCGGTGTTTTTGCTCCCTCTTATACCGCGCCGGAACACCCCCCGTTGTCTCACCGGCGCCCGATCTCGCTATCTCGAATCCCGTTTATTAAAAAACACAATTTGAAAGATCGGCCACTAGCTCGCGTGGGACTCTTGATTGGATTTTATGATCCCGGCAGCTGCTCCGCCCGTATCTTCGTGACGAGTCCTTCGCGCGACACAAGCGAGATTGATCGTAAACAAAACGCTTCTTCGCTGGCTTTATGAGCTCGTTTTTATATATCGACTGAGAATTGCGAAATTAAGACGCGCAAAAAATGCCCTATTCGCGACGTGAGACAATAAATCAGAAGCGTTTTTGCACACTATCAGATTTTTCGAGTTTAAATTATATTTCCTTTTTTTCTGAAAAAACCTCTGAAACATATATTTTCTCAATTTATTAAAAATAAATTAAGTTAAATAATTCACTTATATAGTTAAAAATCTGTAATTGATTAAAAATATGGTTTCAAAAATATCACGAGTTATTTTGTTTACTAAGAACGTGTCGCGATGAAAAGCCACAATACATTCTTATTCTTTTCTCAGGCAAGAAAAATAATTGCCCGGATACGAGACAATCGGAGACACGGCAAGCAAAGTATTCGGATGATGGAGAGGTTGATATTTAATGTATAATACACAGTCGGCGTGTGTCTTCGGTGCCCCGTTAGGGCGATAATTAATGGCGTACATCGTCGCGGGCATAAATATCGCATATTATTACGAGCCGGGATATGCGAGCCTGCGACCCGGACCGGGTCGAAGTGGCGGTGTCACATTTGAATAACACGCCCGCGAACTAGTGCATAAATTTCTAATTACAAGAAAGCGAATACTCGTCCGTTCACGTAGGCCTGCGACAACGTCGGGCCAATGCTAAATCTTTACGATCGTATAAAACGTCGCCCCGAGAATATATAGCGCTCTCGGAGAACTGATTTTCATCGACTAACTCGTTCGCAGCAAAATTATGTCTCTCGAAAGAATTTACTAAATCGTTAACGTCGTGCAGCAAATTTTTCGACAATGTATTTACGCACAATGCCAAATTCAATGCGTTTTTATCAAGTTTTTCATGATAAAAGAAAATACACTTAAAATAGAATGTCTGTTATGCGAGCAAACGCGTAAGCATTATTATTCGAGTAACGGTGTCGCGTTGTAAAAGACACGTGAGTTGTAAAATCAGTGCTGACAGCGGCGGCGATAGCGATGATAAGGATTTTCATCAAGATTAATTACGGCCGAGGCGCAGTTATTATAATTACTTCGCGATCCGATCTCTCGGCTGTATCTAATTATCGGGCTTAATCTCGGCTGATCACACACTCCGCCGCAACAATGCGAAGCTGAATGTGATGTAAACGATCTTATTAGTATTCTCGGTGCGCGCCGGTACTCGTACAACGGATTGACGGCATACGGCGCGATGTAAAAACGAAATAACGGGCATATCAGCAGTAATAGCGCCAGTGCATTGATAATTATATCGTCTAATGATACCCTTTCCCCCATTAACTTATGGTGCGGAAAATCAGAAAGAATACAGAATACACACAGTGTTCTCACGCGGGAAATCGCGCTTGAGCAAATTCGAAACGGCATCCTTCTTCATGTATGTTTAACGCTAGATATGATTTTCTGATTCTAAGTTTCATTTCTCCGATAACGATTTAATTCACCCAATTTAATGAGCTGATTTAATGAATAAATGAGTCGCAATTATATTATAATTTATTATTTAAATTCTAATACTTGTGCGCAATCGATTGCTGTTGCTTCACTAAAAGATATTTCTTTAATTTCTGTTTATTTATTAATGCAAATCACGACAGCCGCGCGAATATCAATTTCTTCGAGATACAACGGCGTAAATAATGCTGCGCTTTTCCGCTTTATTATCGCGTATTGACGGCTGTATCGAGTGGCCTGTACGGAAAAAACGTGAAATTGATTTCGCAAAGCGGACAGGTCACGCCAGTCGCGTAATCGCTTCATTTATTAATGCGTGTCTTTACTTTACGAGGGCGGGTTACACAACCCCATAAACAGCGTATCTTATGGAACCTAGGAAACCCCCGGTGACACTAAAATTCGTAGTTTACACCCGTAACCAACGTTTACGGCCCCTCTTTGATCGCGGCCGCCAGTGACGTCTCTGTCATCCCAATTAGGACGCAGTAAAGTCTCCCCTTTTTTTGTGTCGGACGCCGTTTTTAGGGTTGAATACAACGTGACGGAGATTCTCGTCGGTAACATCCTCCGCAAAGGACCACGGCGAGGAAACTCGCTGCTAAGAAAAGAGAAACAGGTTGTATGTTTCCCGAAAAGGACAACATAGGTATAATCAAATGGACCACAAACGTAATCGTGTCTTCCTTGAGATATCGATTAGGATATTTCCCTTAAGTGCATTCCTGAGAAGCGCTTTTTCAGATATTTATTGAGTTTCTCAGCGAAACACAACCCGTAAAGTCATGAAAATCGTAATAATTCTGTTTAAGGAAAATAAACGAGATGCGATAAAACTGGATAGTTCTGCGCATTTAAAGCTTACAAATTAAATTCGTTTCCGTATCTGAAGGGCAGTGTGAGGAACGCATTAGCATTTCAACGATGCAATTAAGTGCACTCCCGCGACGATCGCGTTTCCCGCGCTAGGAAAAAATCGCAACAAAAATCGCAATCCACGTCTCGTTTTGAAATATCAGCGTCTAATTGCGCCCGCGCGCGCGTGTTAGATTGAGAGATCGAATCTCGCTTAAATTTGCCGACGATTTAAAGTAGACACGCGATGGGGACTTTCACTTTCAAACGGAATGGCCCGGCGATCGCGGCGCGTGTTAATTGTATTATTAATGAAGGTAAGCCGCGAGCGCGTAAAACGCGAGTGACTGATGCGTCGTAGCGCGCGTAATTAAAGCTGCATTGCTCAGTCTTTCGCGCTCTCTCTTTCTCGCTCTTTCCTTCTCCTTCCCCCCTCGTCCCGATCAGCCGTGCTGTTGATCGCATTCGCATGTGCCGTGATCGTTTCCTGTCGCCCGTCGTCGTCCCGCCGTTGTTGCACGTCGACGTCGCGGTATACGCAGTCAACGGTGATTTTCCGGCGATGGAACGGGAACGCGCAACACGGGGAACGAATCGCGGTTCACCGCGGGGGATCCCACGGAAAACAAGATCTCATCAAGATAGCTGGATGCTCGCACTCTGTTGCACCGACCTGACGTACTGGCCCCTGCAACTGCCATGCACCATTAACCGAGATCCAGCTAGAGGCACTCGTATACGAAAAGAGAGAGAGCGAGAGAAAGAAAAAAGAACGGGAAAAGATACGAGGTGGACGGAGGGAAAGGGGAAGAGATGTGGCTAGTCACGTTGCAACGCGTCGGACGATCTTCCTCTTTTTCTTTCTCTTTCTGCTCCATGCGTAGTTTTCGTGGCCGGCTCTCTGTCTGTCTCCTCCTTTCGTCCCGACCTCTCGCTCTGGGAAAGGCCGACGATCGCTGAAATGGGAAATCGTTTAGGTCTCCGCCGAGAGAAACGTCGGCGAGATACACGCCGCGATCTCGCGGAGGCGAACTCATTACGAGCACTTAATGTCTCGTGCGCGCTTCCTAAAACCGCCGACGTTTACAAGCGTGCTGCGTGCGCCGGGTGCGCGCCGGAGTCTCGGCTTGATTTATTGATTAATGATTTGTAGAAATATTTTTTGACGAACATATGGGACTCTTCGTTGCGTAAATAAATCGTTGTAGCAGTCATTGAACTGCAAGTGTCGTAAGGCGCTCCAATTGATTTGATCTCTCAACTTGGCAAATGATCTAAATTTATCGTTCATCATTATTTACACCGCCGTACATTTCGAGGGCGAAAGATATTATTCAAGAACGGCTCTCGGTTGCGCACTCTTTCCTCAAAACAAACATCACACAACGAAGTATCGTATCGTGCGGTATTAATCACGCTGCTCATCGTTTGTTACCTGCGGATAGGTGCTTCCGTGTCTTCCCGAGACCTCTCCCTTCTCCGGAATCCTCGCCGTCTCAGTACATAATAAATACCCTGTTGCCATCCTCTTTCCCTCCCCCTCGCCGTCGAGTCACTAAAAGTTCGCGAGCACGTTCGTTTCCTTATAATCGCGGATGACGGATCGCAATGTAACGAGGGTCAGTCGTATAAATTATAGTTCCGCGATCTCGCGTGCATTATGTGGTGGCGGTCACAGGTGGGAACGTATCGTCCCCCGTGTATTTCTGCTGAAAAATAGAAAGAAAAAGGAGAGAGAGAAAGAGAGAGAGGAGGGAGAGAGAAGTATTACTGTGTATCTGTTACACAAATAAATAATGTTTTGAGAAATAATGTACAAGAAATTAATGTGGAATTTTTATAGCTCATAATTGATGCTATGATCTATAATAATGGCTACAATAATGGCTTTATCAATAAAATATGAGCATTTTTCTAATTTATTGATATCGCGACATATAAAATATGTAAGATATAATGCAATTGATATATTTATTTATTTCCTATATGTGTTTCTTCATCTGTGTAGCCTGGATATATATTATTCTCGTATTGCAACGTCCACATTCTGCTTGAAAATTTTGTACTTTTTTATAAAGTATCTCTAGCCAGAGGTGCTCTACAATTTTTAATTCCCAAGACATTGCGTCTGGTCTGTATCGTGGCACGTATTGAATTGAACATACGATACGAGTATTATTTTGTTGAAAAGTGTCCGATAGAAGAGGCCGAGGAGAGAGACGTATGGTTTCCGCATTTGAACGAAAATATTGACAGCGTTCCAAACAGTCATCAAGAGACGTGATAGGATCCGATGCGAAATATGTAATATAACAATATTATAAAATATAAAAGTAATACAAGTTCGCGAGAGAAAGAGAGAGAGAAAGGAAACAGAAAGAGAGAGAGGAGGGAAGGAGAAAAGGAAAGGGAGTATTTGTATACTACGTGATATCAGCGGATCTATCCGCGTGCCGATTGGCTTTAATTTGAAGCGGGCGTCAAAACCGAGTCGATGATAGTACCGCGGACTCGAAATGGATGGTTTTCATGGGGTCCGGCGATGGTGCCCAGAAGAGAAACGGGCCCCGGCCGGCCGTGCGGCCGGCGATGTTATCTGGTCCGGTGGGAGGCATCTGCCGATATGTATACAATGCCATAGGTCCGCCGGGATTATTACAGCCTTGACAAATTGCCGCGGTGAAGGCCGACCCTGGTAATTACGGGGCGCAGAGAGACGCAGATATAAGGACCGAACGCGCGCGCGCGCGCGTTTATATATATACACACACATATGTGTATACACAATCGCTGCACTGCTATGTATATATATATATCGATA